ATAATAATAATAATAATAATGAAGCTAGCTTTTGGAAAAAAAAGGAAATTAAAATGAAATGTCTACTAATTACACCTTCCAGAAACCAAAGAAATTAATGATAGAACCTTATCGTGCTACTCTGCCTTCCTGGTAATGGCATGCCTGCCTCAAGGGCTATTTGTGAGTTTATAAAAACATACCCCTTGGGGCTGGAGAGATGGCTCAGCAGTTAAGAACACTGGTTGTTCTTGCAGAAGACCCTGGTTCAAATCCCAGCACCCACATGGCAGCTAACAACTGTCTGTAACTCCAGTCCCAGGGGATTCGACAGCCTCTTCTGATCTCTGAGGGCATTGCATGGCATGGGTGCACTTGCCTACATGCAGGCAATAGTCGTAATTGACTCAGATTTTGAGTCACAGGTGTGTGCTACATGCCATCCTGGCTCAAGAAGTTCTAGTAGAAGAAGCATGGTTGTAGATTTTGCCATTGCTGAATCTAGCAACCACAAGCCCCCAAGTGGGAGTAATCCACCACACTGATCTGAAGGGCTGTACATGAGTGGACTTCTTCCCCACTCATGGTGACTCCTACCTGTTATGCTCCAGCCAGTTTTTTGAAAACTCCACATCTGCTTACAGATACCCTCTTGAGTCAGTGTCTTTAACTTACCAACCTTCTCAGTGAGAAATTCTCTAGCCAAACTACTTAACCATGTGCAAGTACCATCCCTGCTATTTGTTTTCCTCCATAGGACTTGCTGATATCTGACAGATTGTTCTTTTACTTAGAATTTTGCTTCTACCAGAAAGCATTTTGTACCACAAGGATTTCCCCCCCCCCTCATTTTTTTCCCAAAGAATTGTTATTGGCCCATAGCAAATGTGTGACTAATAAACATTGCAATGTGATTTTCATGGATAGTAATTTAAATAGTCATACTAGAAAAACTGCTTTTTAAAATTCCAACCCATGCCTGGAGAGATGGTTTAGTAGTTAAGACCACTGGCTACTTGTGCAGAGGAACTGGGTTCAGGTCCCAGCACCCACATGGTGGCTAACAACCTTCTGTAACTTCAGTTCCAGGGGATATGACACCCACTTCTGGCTTCTGTGGGCACTGCCCAACGCATGTCCACTTATGTGCATGCAGGCAAAGCACATATATACGTAAAGTAAAAATAAATAAATAAACAAAATTTTAACTACCCCCAATGGCATCCCAGTATGTTTTCTTGTACCTGTAATTCTAGCATTTGGGAAATTAAGCCAAAGAGATTACTGTGAGTTTGAGGCCACTTTGAACCACACAGTGAGTTCGGTACATGACCCTGTCTCAAAGGAAGAAAACTAAGGAAAAGAGGAGGAGTAGAATGTGGTGGAGGGGGAGGAGGAAACGAAGGATGGAGGGAGGGAAGGATGGAGGGAGGGAAGAAGTAGGAGATAGAGAGGAAACCAACAACAGAAAGAAACATTTTATCCTCAGCTTCTAAGAGGGAGTTTAATGGATTTGAGATTTTGTTTTGTAAATATTGCTAAACCAATTATATATGCTTTGTAATTATTTTGACTGTTTTTCTTCTTAGGTTTAGGCATTTATCAGCCACTGGGACACATAGATTTTTATCCAAATGGAGGAAAACATCAGCCAGGCTGTCCCACAAATCTTTTTTCAGGTATATTAAAAGTATTGTCATCTGGACGTGGTGGCACATACCTTTAATTCCAGCACTCAGGACTCAGAGGCGAGTGGAAGCCTGGTCTACATGGCAAATTCCAGGCTAGATGAGACTACAGGGAAACCCTGTCTCAAAAAAACAATAATAAGTTTTCAAATTAATTACACTGAGTCGAATGATGCAAGAAAACAATTTGCTTTTTTTTGTGTTCTCAATCTTTGAGCAATGTTTTGGTGTCATCAGCCTGTGATTTAGGAAAGTTATTGACAAGAAATGGTTTAAATTGACTTCCTCAATTTATAAGGTCACCAGCATATACAGTATTTGGTCATGAATGAGGCCTATTTTATTGTAGTTTAAGCATGAGGCAGAAATTTTAAGTCAATGAGAAAAAACAGTGATGCTAGCGAATCCTAGAACATGAGTTTGATCTCAAGATTGTGTGATCATTATATTACAGCACAGACACAAATTCAAAAATTCAGGCCAGTCTCTTTTTCCATACGTGGAGAGTTGTGCAGCCTCCCTGAGTGAGAAATCTGTGTCATGTCACAAACATGGCAGGATGTGTTCTTATGAACACAGTGAATGCTTACATAATGGGCGACCTGATGCCAGCGTGGCTGGTAAGAGCCAAAGGCTACAATATGAGAGACTGGGAAAGGGAAGGGAAGTAAGCAAGTTTGATGTCTCTTGCTTCTGTAGTCATGTTTGACACTGAGTCAAAATCTTAGGGGTGTGGAATTAGATGGGTAAGATATGTTTAGTAATATTGTAGCACTATGTTTGTAAAACCTATAAATTACTGAATTTAGGCACTTATGTTTTGTGCCTTATTACTATATGAAAATGTTTTATTAATTTTACTCAAAAGGCATGCTATATTTAAGTTTTTCGTGGTATTATTTGGTAGCCTGAGCTATAACTAACTAAGTTATGGTTAACGCTTTTGTATGCATAGGAAACCTAAAATTTAGTAGCATTTAATTGTCAACTATTTACTAGTCCATTTAGACTTGATTTGATGTATCTACAGTTGTTTTGTTTGCTTTATTTCCCTAAGGAATGGATTATTTTAAATGTAGTCATCAGAGAGCTGTTCACTTGTTCATTGCAGCTCTGGAAACAGACTGCAATTTTGTTTCATTTCCTTGTCGTTCATACAAAGATTACGAGAATGGTTTATGTGTGGACTGTGGGAATGCTAAGAAAGATTCATGTCCCAGGCTAGGTAAGAGAAATTGTTACAGTTATTACAATTCATTTTGAAATTAATAACTGGGTATTTTAGGTTAGAGATTAAAAGTGCTTCATATTTATTCTCCAATATGGTATCATTTTGTGGAAAATTTATCTGTGGAGATAATGGTAAAATAATAGTACATATTGCCTACAAATTTTTCTAAGGATCTTGATGAGAGGAAGTAGATGAACTCTTCCTATTACAGTGGGAAAATTACAAAAACCTCACCAAGATGCTTAGTTCTGATATACAAAAGTATCTGTGTTTCCACTAAAAGGCTGGAAGGTCCTCATTCTCTGCAGCACTGATTGGTTAGATGGTTTGAATAGGAAGTCTTAGGAGCAAGTGCAGAGTTATCAGTCATAGCGGGATTTTCATTTACTATTAGCAAGTAGGCATGAATCATACATGATTCATGCCTTTCAAAGCGATAAAATTTGATAAGACCTGTTAACTTGGCAGCTTTTAAAAACAAAAGTTTGCCAGTGAAAAAGTATATAAAAATATTCTACTAGAAGAAAGAATTTATGACTGTGAAAGAATGCATTTAAAAATTCAAAATCGTTCAAGTAAAAAATATATTAGAAACTGTTCAATGTTTTCCAAAGAGCATACCAAGTGTGCCATAAACATGTCAATATCTGATGAGTATAAGGAAAATTTCTTTCAGAAACATTTCTGAAGTCAAAGGAGATGTAGGAATAGGGATTGGTTACAGAGAATGAACTGAACCTTATGAAACCAGTTTTATTCAGTAAGCATAACTTGATCTGAAGTGTCTGGGTGAGGCATGCTGTATGGAGGCTTTGTCAGATCTTCAGTCCATAGACTTCTGTCCCCAAGTGATTCATATTCTTTAGACCTCATGTAGAGATTGCTTTTCTGGTGGTGTTATTTCTTTCACTGTGATTCAAATTGAATATACAGATTTATTAAAAACATAATTTGGAACTAGAATTAATATTATGCATTTTCAATTAAGAATTAATACTATTAAAATTCTAAATTTTGGAGATAGATACAAAGAAGCACTTGGGTAAATATTTACTGTATTCTTCAATTTGATATTCTGTGTACACATATGTACACAGATGAAATATATGCAGTACACAGTATGCATATATTTACATTATTTACATGTTAATGTATATAATGCATACACAAACATACAATATCATATAGGAGAATTTGGGGGCTTTATTCAAGGAGCTAAATTGTATGTTCAAGTTTTATGTAATCAATTTACTTTACTGAATTTACTGAAATTAATTACATGTAAACTTCTGAATTTATATCATAGTGAAAGCTGCCCAAACTGGAGAGTAGTCATATGGATTATGTTAAGTTTTACATTTAAGGAGGGGAATGAATTTGTGAATCCTGAATTTAAGTGTTATTCATATTATTAATGTGAAGAATGCCACATAATTTGAAGTGTCTTTTAACTGCAATTAATGATGATGGTGATGATTATATATGTTGATATTTTATGTACTTTAGTGATTTGAACTTTTTGTTTACTATTTGGTAGAAACTCAATTTCTATATTCTATTTCTCAAATTTTAGGGAACCAAGCTAAGCTATGGAAAGAAGGTTTAAAGAAAAGAATGGAAGGATGGCCTCTGAGGACCAGTGCATTTTTGGATACTAGTGGCCAAAGTCCCTTCTGTAGTAAGTTGCTAGCATTTTAAATATATGAATAATTATGTATACACACATATGTATTTCAGAATTTCCTGAAGCTCTCCTTATATGCCATATTCAAATACAATTTTTCTTTGTATACCTGTGAATTTGAGAATCAAGCTCCTTGTCCCCAAATATAATGACAAATAATCTTAAGAAGCCACATGATAGTGTTTGGTAAAAAGAAAAGTAGAAAGAACATAAAGTGAACAACCCCAAGTAATTTTAAAGTCCACTCAAGCGAACTCCATTTGCTTTCAAGGCCTAGTTCATTAATAGCTTGTTTATGTGACTCCACGTTTTAGCTGTCTTCCCATTCCTCCTCCTACCCTCCTGGTCCTCCTCCTCCTTGCCCTCTTTGTCTTCCTCATCCTGGTCCTTGTCCTCATCCTTGTCCTAGCCCTCGTAGTTAATTTCAGTGCTCTACACTTTCATCTTGACTTTGCCATTTCTCACCTCTTTCTAGAATTAACTTTTTGCTGAAATATATTCTACTGGTGATGACTTTTCAGTCATAATTTCTATCAGCCATTTTTTGACTGATATGCCCTTATATGTATCTGACTGAGGAATACAAATATTGTTCAGAGTAGAGTTCTACGTTGAAAATTATTTTTGCTCAACAATTTAGAAATGTTTACTCCCATGATATCTAAAAATTCTCCACCATTTATTGTTAATCCAGTCATTCACTGAAGATAATCTGTAGTTTTCTGATATTAGGTATATTATTTTACTTTCTTGTCCTTTTGTTCTTCTTTTTTTTGAATTTTAATAGTCTGTTTAAACCTGGGCTAAAGATTGATGAAACAGATTTGAATTTTGAATTCTTTCAAAGCAGAAATTCATGTGTTCCTTCCATATAGAAAACTCCCAGCAGCTGCATCTTCTTCAAAATTCTCCCTGTAGAGCAAGTTGGATTTTTTTCCCCAACCATTATTATAATCCTTCACCATTTTAATGTAAACTTTGGGTCCTCCACTAAGTGGAGAATGTTTATTTGAGTTGCATGTTACCTGAAATTTCCTTTAGTCACAGGGACTTGCTGTTAGCCTTTACACCCACACAGAATGAGAAGGAAAACTTTTTTAATTTGACTGTCAGAGATGAGGAAAATTAGGGTTGGAAATTAAGGTCCATGGATCTGTACAGCCACTTTCATTTCAGCATTTCACTCAGCATCATGACTCCTCTGTGGAAGTTGATGCTTCAGCATCATGTTCCATGTTACACCCAAGTCTCAAATATGGGGGCTTCAGTCTTTATGGCCTTGGCTGTATATGACTTTGTTTTCCTTGTCTTCATCTGAGATTGTTAGGTATTAAAGTGTGCGTTGCACCTGGTGTTTCTATATATTGTAGTAGTAACATGGCTTATTCTGTATCTCAACTTGTTATAGTGCCAGAGATGATGTGAGCAAGTCTATATGCTTATCTATGGTGAAGTGGGTCAAAGTACCGTATCTAATGCTAGACAGTCTTTAAGAATAAAGTACTAGTTTATGTCAATTGTATCTGAATTTTTAAGGGCCCATCATAGATACATGACAGCACTTGAGGTATTGCTGAGTGTAAAGCACAAGGGAGGAGGCTTCTTCTGACTCCCAGTAGCATCATTTAATAAATAGCATGGACACTATTTGCTACCCTAAGAACACTTATACATTCTGAATTCTGTTTGGGGTGTACTAGACATGGGATAATGAGTAAAGATCGAGATTTCCTGTATTACCCTATCAATTTTGACTATAGGTCTAAATTTAGCTGCCTTTCCTCTGAAAGATATACTATGTTAAGTTTTCAAAAGTGCATTTTGATACAAACTACAATGAACTTATCCTATATACAGTTATTTAACTTCACAGCCACCCTTCACTAGCCCATGGGATTTGGGATTAAAGTAGGCAAAAACATTTGGCTGGATATATTAATCAGATAATTAAGAAATCTTATGATATTTAGATATGTTGCTGAAAAACAAAAAATCGTTTAGTTGCCCATACTCTGCTTTTTTTTTCATGTTTGCAAACTAGTAAGAATTTAGTAGCAATTTGCCAAATCATCACCTTACACATTTCTAGATATCGCAAGGTTCTTGTTCTTCCTTTTAAGAACAGTCAAAACCTGACAAACAATAGGAACTATTTGAATATTATAATTATTTGCATATGCAATATAGGACTATATTGCATATGTTTATGTGTGCATATTTGCACATGCAGCAAAACACAAATACAAATAATCTTCTGTATTTTTATTTTGTAGCATATTATTTTGTCCTCAGTATGGTTGCTCTGAATGAAACTATGAAGAATGGCTCTATTTCATTTAAGTTATTAAACAATCTTGGAACACTTGAAAACCCAAGGATCTATGAGTAAGTACCACTTATTTTCTTCTTTGATGAATTAAATGTTTCCTTATTTACATTTGTATTAATGATTCAGTAGATAATTGGAGTAAGTTTTCTATACAGATAGGATTAAAATATGAAAACAATACATATAATTTTCATATTTTATATGTTTTTCTAATCCCTTTAGTTCTAGAAGATACTGATTTGAAATAGACTAACTCGCTTATGTAATATAAGAGAGAACCACAAAAGTTAGGAGAAACTGTTTTGTGTGTCTTTTGACTTTTAACTCCATCATCTTGCTTTCTGACTGTTTTCTGTTTCTCAGGCAACATCATTTTCACAGTTATGTAAATAAAAGCCTAGTAAAATTAGTAAATAGTAGAGTGACAGTTTTACCATATCAGAGAACTGATTCAAACCAAAAAGCTTCCAAATATTAGGCCAGGAATTGTTTACCCCAATTTTTAATTAAATTTTCATATGTGTGTGGCTGTATGTACTTGTTTCTAAGGTTATATGTAATTATTTCCAAGTGTATTCTCAGCTCAATATTGGTGACTATTTACTTGCGTGTTAAGTTTTTTTTTTAATTTTGCCTCTTTTATTTTTATTTTTTATTAAATTTTTGTGATTTTCATACAATATAGTTGATGGTATGTTAGCTCTTCACTCCCGTCTGCACCTCCCCCCATTGTCCCCTGCTGAATTTAATGTACTCTTTTATATTAAATCCCCCCTTTCCCCATTTCCCCCTTAATAACACCTATCTACTAATATCCCTCTATCTTGAATTCCTTTTCCCCCGTTTATACCCATGATTGCTTTCCATTTTCCTGGCTCCTGTGGTCACCTCTGGAAATATAACCACATCTAGGAATCTGAAGGTCATATCTGCAAATGAGAGAACATATGTCTCTTGTTTCAAAAGGCTCATAGGTACAATGACTAGTGTTTAAATAAACAAACTTGATTTGACTGTGGATAGATGTAGACCATATCTTGGCTTCAATTTTGACATATTATTGAGGGCATTGGAGTTTCAGGAGGCACAGTTATTATTTCCAATATTTACTAATGCCACAGTTATAGTACCTGAATTGACTGAGTATAATGTGTGTTGGATCTTGAATCTGAACATACAGTGACATACAGATTTATTCAGGTGTTAATTAAGAGGCAGGGCAAGATACCTAACTGCCTGCTTCTTTTGTTGCCAAATAATGGCAGCAGCCTCTTTAATTCTACAGTATTATTAATATTTAGTTAAAATCTGAAGCAGCACATTGGTTAAAGTCTATAACAGCATTAAAATATAAAAAGCTGTAGCTCATAGCAGATATGGTTTGTATCATAGATTAAATATTTCAAACCTTGAACTCCATAAAGAAAATCATTAGGGAAAAATATTCATTTTGACCAAAATACTGAGAATCTCTATGATGAAGTCAAATAAAGATCATGGGATGTCATGATCATCCTTAGGAAATTTCCTGACTGAAAATCAGGCAAATCAAAACGTGAGATAAACACGTTGATATTGTATTCTATAATTTTTAAATCAATAAGCATTGTAGATAGATTAGTAGTGATATGAAAGTAGTGCAGTGAAAGTCAAATTAATTTTCTTTCCTCATTTCAACCTCCCTCTAATCAGCCAAAAAGATGAAAAAAAATTCAAATAAAAATTTGAACCTAAGTTCTCTATTTTGGCCAAGGCCCATATTTCATTTAGAGAAAATTTCAAGTCCTTTTTGTCTAAATTTTGAAACTGATTATATAACATATGTATGTTATGAAACTACACATTCTTACACAGTTGATTAATGTCTCTTAAAATTGTATATTGTGTATGTATTCTGATACATACACATATAATGTATTCTTATCAGAAATGTACTGTTATCTTTTAAATTAATTCATTTGTGTAGCACATTAATCATTAATAAACTCATTCAGATGCTCTACAAACACCTGGGAATTCAAACTGAAATAGACAAGTGTAATTCAGGAGGAAGTCATAGAATACTGGTGGAGGTTAGTGAATAATTATATTTGAATAATAAGTTTTGGGAGAGAACACCACTTGTTCTATTGTCACAGTGTATAGAAAAAGCAAAAGCATTTGAAAGTAATGCTATGTCATAGAAACAGGGATAGGTTGCTTTCAAAAGAATAGAGAAAAGAGTAAATAAATTCTTAAATGGCACACAGACTGCACTTGCAATGTAGTTGCTTCAAATTTGTCCAGCAAACAAAGTTTGTTTTGGTTTACTTTGAAATCACACACTGGGACATAGTGGTTCATTTTATTCATAATGAAATCAGTGCAAAAGGAATAGAGAATGTGAGAACGTGTACACTTGCTGTAATACATCCACCTAAGTTTCACTAAAAGCTTTCTTGCTTTCCATTCATAGGCATTTGGTATTGGAATTATTGTTCAAATGTTAGAAAACCAAAATAATTTTAAATGACCTTACCTTTCACTTTCAAGACTTGAAACAGGAATATATGCTTGTTATGGTGCCAAAACCACTGAGAAAGCACCACTCAGATTCCAGGTATTTTGAATTCTCCAAATTTTATCTAGCTTGGCAGTGACTGCACTCTCTGTATCACGATTTGGAGAATGCAGTATTGACTCAGAGGAAAACAAAGCTTTTTTTAAAAATTATTTATTTAATAAACACAGAATCAGAAGAAGCATTTCAGTACAACACTGACATATTCAATAAAAATTTCCAGAGCTAAGATGTATCTCCTTCAAAATTGGCTGTAGAATTTTAGGGTTACAGTTGAATTAATACAGTTATACAATATTGTAGTCAGTATAAACCCTATAAGAGATAAAATTAAATGAGGATTTGCCTTTAAAAAAAAGATCTTTATTTCATTATTAAAATACGCAATTTCGTACAGAAAACTTTTTTTTTTTTGATCTTTTTGAGACAGGGTTTCTCTTTAGCCCCAGCGGTCTTG